CTCCGCCCCTGATCAGTCAGATGCTAGAAGTAACTTATTGAGGACCCTAATTTTTGTTTCATCTAACGATATGTATAAATGCATTCTTTCTTGATATATTTGGGACATCTAATTAAAATTGAAATATATTTTTCAGACCTTTCCGCTATAGTCTAAAGATTTTTATGTATCTGTTATGTTTTCATTTTTAAGAATTTTGAGGAAATGTCAAAACTTATTTAGGAAACTGCTTGAAGGAAATTACATGAAGTTTTCCATTGCTCTCATGTATGAAGGTTTTTCTTAATTACAAGGATACTCAATTTTTTCGTATCCTGGGGACTTGCAGGCATTGCGGCAAATATTGGATTCAGGGAAGTCTCTTCCCTTCCCAGATGGTCTCCTTATAAATGGCCAAAAGCAGTCAACTTTCACTGGCGATCAAGGTTATTCTCAATATTCTCTAATGCCCATGTTCATTACTTAATTGCCATTCACCATCAAAATGTGCTGCTATTTTACCCTCTACAAGTAACAACTCATTAACAACACCAATCTTGCTTTTCATTTACAGGCAAAACATATATGTTCAGGATTTCAAATGTGGGTTTGAAAACTACCATTAACTTCAGAATTCAGGGCCACAAGATGAAGCTGGTAGAGGTTGAAGGATCGCATGTCATTCAAAATTTATACGATTCTTTTGATGTCCATGTTGGTCAATCTTTATCTATCCTTGTCACATTGGATCAATCTCCAAAGGACTACTACATTGTTGCATCTACAAGGTTCACGACAACTGTTCTTACTTCCACCTCAGTGCTCCACTACACAAACTCTCAAACACCTGTATCTGGACCTGTGCCAGCTGGTCCAGTTAATCAATTTCAGTGGTCGTTGATGCAAGCCAGAACAATCAGGTACACATCATCCAATGTGCATTCACTGCCTCCTCACATCTATGCATTATGACCTCTCAAGTTTTAGAATCATGGCTTCCTTTCTTGTAGTTAGTCCTGTACTTGGTGAACTTTTTCGTTCGATTCACCATGAATGGACGTTCATAGATCGCTAGGGTGAAGGGTAACCTTAAATATTTTAGTAATAACAAGGGTAGCAACTACCACGAGAACACTTCAGAGAGGTAAACTGTTTGTTTGCAAGGGAAGTAACATGAGTCTTCCTGCTGCAGTGTCCTTAATGGGAATGATTATTCTGTTGCACCAGCTTAGCATTTTTAACCAAACATATAATTAGGAATATGGGAAGGAAAAGTTCCCAGCTATGATGATTATAACTTTTCATAACCTAAGTTGTTTTCGTTTTGAAGGTGGAATCTGACATCTAATGCAGCTAGACCAAATCCTCAGGGTTCATTCCATTATGGAAAAATTACACCTTCAAGGACAATTTTGCTTGCCAACTCTGCACCACTTATCAACGGGAAGCAGAGATATGCTGTCAATGGTATCTCTTACATTCATCCTGACACTCCTCTGAAGCTTGCTGATCACTTTAACATCCCCGGGGTGTTCACTTTGGATTCCATTCGAAGTGCTCCCACTGCTGATTCTCCACACCTAGCTACAGCTGTGTTGCCATCTTCTCTCCATGAGTTCCTCGAAATCGTTTTCCAAAACAATGAAGACACAATGCAATCTTGGCATCTTGACGGTTATGATTTCTGGGTCGTAGGGTATGTTGTAATCATTAAAAAGTTTTGATTCACTGCACTTGGTGTAAGGTCGGCTTAAGTTTTCTTACGCTTACTGTTGTTAATATTTGCAGTTTCGGATCAGGTACTTGGACACAAGCTAGTAGAAAAGGGTATAATCTTGTTGATGCTCTTACAAGACATACTACACAGGTAATTCCCAGTTTCCTCCTCGACAATGCAACTGTTTAAGTAAAGAATCTACTTAATTACATGGACAGTGTAAAGAAGTTTTATACTATCAGGTTACTTAGAATTCAACTACATGTAACTTCTTATAGCAAGTATGGGTCGGTGACCTACAAAACATGGTAAATGACCTATTATAGTAAATAAAAATCCTCAACACTGTCCATGTATGTCATTTTTGATCATTTTAGTTAAGTACTATTGATTCATGGAAAGCTGAATTTTGCAGTTGCTAAGCTTCAACATGAAATGTTTGTTGCAGGTTTATCCTAAATCTTGGACTGCTATATTTGTGTCATTGGACAACCAAGGAATGTGGAATTTGAGGTCTGCAATGTGGGATAGACAATATCTTGGACAACAGGCTTACCTCAGGGTATACAATCCAACATCCAGTTTAGCTAATGAATATGACATACCTACCAATGCTCTTCTCTGTGGCAAAGCTGATGCTCTTCGACATCCTTAATTTGGTCTCATATTTATTAAAGTAATATTATGTTTTCTTGGTCATAAGAGGTTGACTACAAGAGATGCCGGCAAAAGAAACTACTTGCTACATATGTTGTAATACATAGCAAGCAAATATTTTGTGAGTAAGTTAATATTTGATATTTAAGATTTTACTATATTTATGGAACCTTGACCGAAAGATTATAGTATTAAACAGCCTTGTGAACATTCCATGATAAATGATGTATATGGCCTGATGAAGATGAAAGATGAGTTTTTTTAACGACCAATATGTTACAATCATTCCGTGGTTATCTCATATCTGAAAAACAGAATTTGGGGTCACTTAGCATGCGTGGGTGTATTTATAATAAAAATATTAGAATAGGTAAATAATTACTTTTATATCTTTTTTGGACAAAAATATAAGATGTATTATTCACTTCATGTATGATTTAATATTGTTAAAGTGACATATTCATACTTTAGTTTAGGGGTGTACAAAATCGAATCGAAAATCGAATCGAATCGAAAATCGAATCAAATCGTAAACCGAGTCAAATCGAGAAAAAAAACCCGACTAGTGGTTGGTTTGACTTGGTTTGGTATTGAAAAAAAAAATCGACTATATTTGGATTGATTTGGTTTTAACTAAAAAAATCAACCCGAGACCAAACCAACCCGACATTATATATATAATTTTAAAATTTATTTTATACATAAAAATATTTACTTTGATATAATTTTAAAATATTTCTTATACTTTTTCATAGTTTTTATCTTTTTAATATATTATTTCAAATTTGAAACTTAGAATTTTGAATGGTTCAATAAGATTATAGTCCACGTATGTTTGTAATTATAATAAAGTTTAAATCAAAATCAAATTAATACTAATGTAAAATGAAAATCAATTCAACACTAAGAATGACAATAGTATTAAATAATTGTTCTTTGGATTTACATTGGTTTAGACAATTCAAATACATAATCTAATTTTAATTTCCTTTAATATTTAGTCATGTAACTAAGTACTTATTAAACTTATTTTAGCATGATTTAGTACTTTTAAATTATGATCATCTTCATTATGATTTGCTAATTTGCAATATTTGTTTTACGTGATTTTCATTATTATTATTATTTTGTTGGATATTTTAGTGTCATTACTCATATTATATTTTGTGTTATTTTCTTAAGAAACACCTTAGATAGTTGTATTTTGGTAGGACTAAAGAAATATTTGAAGTACAAGTAAATTATATGTTTGTATGAATACTTTACCGGAAAAATCTGAAAAACCCGAAAAAATCCAAAAAGACCTGAGGTAGAAAAACCCGAGTTTTATTGGTTTGATTTGGTTTATAGATTTAAAAATCCGACACAAATAATTTGGTTTGATATTTGAAAAACCCGAACCAACCCGGTCATGTACACCCCTACCGTTCAGTTTATCAGTATTACTTTTAAAGATGTTTGCTTGCCACCTGATAGGTTCTTAAACTGTTAAACATATGAAACAACTTGATTGCCAATAACCCAGGGTTATTTGGTTCTTGGGATATTTTGAGATTATATTTTATTTTATTTTATTTTAATATAGTAACTAATTTTAGAATAAATTGTATCTTAAATTTGGTGTTATTTTATTCTATCTGAAATGTGGATAATTTATCAAATTTTTTTTAGATTTTAGGAATATAACACCGAAATAACTTTTCCACAAATCAAATAGGACAAATTACTTAACTACACTCCTTTACTTACCTTAATATCCATTTATCCCTACTTATTTCAAAAATTTCAAAAATCCCTTATTACCTATGTATCCCGTGCACAACGCTATGTATCCCGCATGTACCCCGTGCACAACGCTATGTATCCCGCTATGTGGAATGTATCACACCTAATGTATCTCGTGCACAACGCTATGTATCCCGCAAACATCATTTTTAAGGGATTTTTGGTAAATAGAAAACTAGAAGGGATATGATGTTATTTAGTACTTGTAATATGTGGTTCCTATAATTTATACAATCAAATAATCCATTCAAATATTTATCCAAGAGTATGGCTGTTAAAACAATTAAATCACAAAATATCTTTAATTTATTTTCTTTCTATTGGTTAAATGCTTTTATGTGTGTTCTTTTGCAAAAAAAGAAAGAAAAAGAAGCTAATCCTATTAATTGAACTTCCCATCCAAATGCATAGTAGCCATTTGCCATTTATCCAATTTTTTTTTGGCTATGATCAGCATTAGGATTTGGTCTCATCAATTTATCTTCTTCCTGCATCATCTAAAAAAAAACAATTGTTTATATATATACATATATATGAAACACTTGTTTAGATATACAACCTATGTACATATTTTATTCACGAAATCTAGGTCTGTTGCTACTGAATAAGAAAGTAATCAATATTCTTAATTATACTCAATTAACTATGTCAAGTTATTAAAAAAAAAAAATTAAGCTTGAACATAGTCGTACTTAAAAAATGGTCAATAATAAAACTATGTACTATTTATTCTCCTTTTGTTTGGGCAGCGAAAAATTGTTTCTGGCTTTTCGATTACTCGACAATATACAAATTATTTAATTTTCAGTATTTGCGCAAGATTTATTTTCTTGTTTAAGTTAATTAAAAATTGATTTAATTAACTCCGGAAGAAGTCCATAGCCTTCACTCAATAGTGAAATCCATAAATTGTAATCAAAGATAACTACAAATTGCTCCTTCACTACGTTTGCGAAATTCAGTTCTGCGTTTTCTCCAGTTCGCACGGCGAAATTCAAACTGCACTCTAGGGTTTGATTAAGCACTTCCATCGTCTCCTCGATCAATCGCGGCTTGTTTTTGAAGTATTTACTAAAGAGGAATCATCAATCATGAATTGCGAAGTTTGTCAGCTAAAAGAACTTGTAAGTTTCTACTTTTGAATTGTGTGAATATGAGCTCTGAGTTCTCTTTTGTGGGCTTGATTTTCGTTTAATTCTTCACTGGTTATCTGGCTGAAGGATGTGGAGCACTTTGAGATTCGAGAAGTCCTCCGATGTAAGTTCAATTCCTTTTTGAATTCTACGGATTAATCCATTACAGAGTTGCTGCTCAGACAATGTTATATGTATTTAGAAGACTCGAAGAAGAATATACCTACACCAACACACATATGCACCCGATCCCTGTTAAATCCTTGGATTTGTCTATGCTCCAATTCATGTGCAATTAGGGTGATACGATGGATAAACTTTCAGCTCATAGCTTATATTTGACTTGTTTGACTAAATTTTGTGTATGATCTCAGCTTTAGCTTGTATTGGTTAGTTTTGATGTCTAATTCTATAATTGAATAACAAATTCCTCTCTAGATTACAAATTGGTTCCTGTTGAAGATGAGATTTTTCTTTTTGAAATGGAAGCATTGGATGATAGGAAATAATCAACAGTTAGATATAGAGGAAGTCGTGCGGATTAAAATGGATTGGTGCATGAAAATCACATACCAGAGTTGACTTAGATAAGATCTTTAATTGTACAAGATACCTATTTCAGCCTAAAAGTTTTTGCTTATGTTGATGAATAGCTGAACAACTTTGTTCACATGTCACATTGTTCATGTGTTCTAAAGAATCTGCTTTTGACATTCTTCCTTCTGTGCTTTTGCTTGTTTGCTATTTTGAGGTCAGTTCCTCCTAGATTTCATCATTCAATGATTGCAGGCGCAGAGTTCCAAACAATTTTGACTGTAGTTTGATACACTGTGCAGCTCTATCCTAAACAATTGAATGGTCAATTGCAGGTATTTTACATACAATTATGTTCCACAGAGCCTTAGGCCTGCTGCGGCCGAAGGATGTTGATTTGGAACTTTTTGACATTACATATGTAAGTAATAAATTCTTGTAGTGGTAGATGGTAGGCTTCATCTCTTTTTCCTTGTTTTCTTTTTCTTTTCAAATCAGTGTGGTGTGTGGAAAAAAATGGATTAAGGTATTGTGGCAGGAGGACTCTTGATTATTCAAAAACGAGACATGAGATGTGGATATGACATCATGAATTTTGGAAAAGGAGTAGATGACCACTATGCTTTTTCATTAGAAGCTAATATATTCTATTTTTTTTTCAAGAGAAGGTGAATTAATGGTCAAACAAATTGTTCACTATTAGTGGAAGACGTTTCTAATGACACATTGAACTAGAGGGAAATCACTCTATAATATAGAACCAAAAGCGAGGTCCTTCAAATTTTGTTAGTCTCAAGGAGAGGTTGGTGTAATACTGTAATATATCACGTGTCTTTTTTTATTTTTTTATTTTATCCTTTCCCTATTTTTTGATAGATCTTTCATAGTGATGCAATAAGTTGCTGATATTTATTTTTGATCAGTATAAGCTGCTGATACTTACTATTTTATGGTATACTTTTGGTTTATTATTCTTTCATGTTATGTTATGTAGACACAGTGTGGTGATGTGGAGGTTGAAAAGAAAATTGAAGAGAAGATTACCCTATTCATCGACAGAGTCGAGAAGCACCCTAACAGGAAAAATCAGGTTAGTCAGTGGTTGCAGTTTGTTTCTGTTGGTGATGATCACTGTTTTGGCCAATGGCCATTCACTTTCCTACTTTATAGTTCTGTTCAGTGTTTACATATTCTTATTGCCATTTCCTTTTCTTTTGATAACTGTAACCTTGTATTCACACCAAAAAACTCATCAAGAAAAATTGATGGTGGGATTTACAACCCCTGGGAGCATCATGATAAACAAAAACCAAAAAATACTTTACAGTTGTCCTATAGAGTCCACTAGACTTTCTGCCTCCCCCGCCATGTCCTATTTACACCAAAATACAGCAAACTCAGACTCTTCATCTTGATCTTTTGAATGCTGCTAGCTTGCCCATCATGGGATCTTACATTCCTTTCCTTCCAAAGTGTTTATAAGATGCAAGCTGGAATGCATTTCCACCGGTCCTCTTTTGATCTTCTCCTTCTGCCCATTCCTTCGCTTTGTTTCAGCATGTCTAAAGAAGTTCTGGGCATTACCCAGCTAACTCCAAGTATACATAAGAACATGTCCCACAGATTTACAACTGTTTTGCAATGTTGAAATAAGTGGTTGTTAACCTCTGCCTCTTTTTCACACATGTAACACCTTAAGCAAACCTGTATACCACTTCTCTGTTACACTTCATGAGTTAGACATGCCTATCACCAACCATGAGAAACATGACACCTTATGAGGGATTTAATCTTCCAGATTAGCTTCCATGGCCACACCATTCCCATTGTCTGATTAGAGATCATATTCCAGTAACAGGATTTCACAGTGAAGCTCCTGTTGTTGTGCAATGTTGCATTTTTTCTCAGGATATTGTTGCCTGTAACCTTTTGACTAGTGATATAAGTATCTTGTGGAATTTTAATCACTAGTGAAATCAGTACTGGTCTAAATATCTAAATGAACTTTCTGTTGTAACCTCAACATACATATTTGTGTAACTGGATGGAGAAAGTATGCAGATTTGCCTATCCTTCTGTGAAGTCAAAAACAAGCAGGCCTCGTGGTTCACTACCAAAGTTGAACGTTTTTACTGGGAACACTGGTATATAAATTTGAATGTGGCTCATCATCCGAAAGGTCATCCTGGCAAGTCTCATCTCTCAAAAGTAGTTGACCCAGGAGGTACCATACTTTTTTTCTCCTTTTTTTTTTTGAAAACATTTTTTCCATGTGGTTTTACAACTTGTTCATTAGTCAGTTTTGTAAAGGGAGGTATAACCTTTTTTTGCAGAGAGTGCATCTGAGGAGAGGAGTGCTCGGCGAACAGTGTTGGAATCATCTCTTCGTGAAGTTATGTTTCAGATAATAAAATTTGTAAATGAGAAAAAGGACCACATTCCTGCGATTTCAAATCTTGAGTGTGTCACATTTCCCTATGAGATCACTATCTCAAGGTAATTTCCCTTTTCTCTAAGTTGTGAACATGTACTTAAGTTCTGTTACTCATCATAGATCAGTATACAAGTGGTTTGCTATTATTGACTCCAAACTATCATTATTGATTAGTTTCTGTCGGTTTTGCTTAATTTTCTGATTTATATTGATTAGAATTCCGAAAGGCATTTGATTTTCTTGAGTTTCTTCCTGCACGAAGTTATAATCTGCTTTGGTACTGCAATTTGGCATTTATGTTATTTGTTTTCAACTTCTTGCCATAGTAAGTAGGTGATCAGCTTATATGAATATCCTTTTTCTTCTTGAAAGAAAATATACTAAGGCCTTTAGATGAGATATAATATCTTCAAAATCTTCACATTTGTGGGGTTATTGACCTAAGGCAAAAAGATTATACCTTCAGTCCTGATGTTCTCCTTGTCTGCATAAGTAGAAAGCGAAAGTGGAATAGGCTTATGATAACTATGGTCTACCACCCTATGTTGTCTCAGTGTTCCTCTTCTCCTACTTCTAGCTTAAATTGATATCAGTGCAGTTTGTTGAGTAGACACTTATTTCTGGGTCTGATGACCTGCATGACTATTTTGGTTAATAGCCTAATATGTTCTTTCCATACTTGTAGTATTCTTTTTCTCATATATGCTCATTTGTACAAGTAATGCACTTACATGTGCCACTTTACTATGCTTGAACTTGTTAATATGTTAATTTGGCTAAAGTTTATCTTTTTATGAAAGATTTAAGTTTTTGTAGGATGTGTGGTTTTTGAGCCTCAAGTTTGGCTATAACACTCGCTCAGTAATTGCCTTTTGTCAAAGACACATACTCTGTCATGGGTATAGTGCACAGATCTCTTTTTCTTCTTTATACTTCAATTTTGTTCTAAGTTGCTCGAGAGGTGCGGATGTCCGATATGGATGCGATCTAGAGGTTAGATCCTTCATGATCTAAATTCTAAGATTAGATGGTATGGGTACGGGAATTCGGCTAAAAATAATTCAAATATCTAAAAATAGAGTTATAAAAATATGCCTAAATTATGGTGGACTATGTGGAAGGAAAGGAATGCACAAATTTTTGAGAGCAAGTTTGAATCTGTAATTATTTAGTACAAATGCATTTCCTTTTTGATTTTTTGGTGTAACATGGCTATTAGCAAATGATATAAGAGGTCTTGATAGACTTCTTGAGTTCATTGCACATTTGACAGTGATGTTGACCTATAAACATCTTTGAAGCACCTTCTGGTTATGGACTTTAACAACAACATACTTAGTGTAATCCCACAAGTGGGTGTGTAGAGGGTAGGATCTCTACTCAAAAAAGCAATATAGTAAGAAAGAAAAAGAGACAACAATATACCAATGCACAAAACAAGGTAGCGACATATATTCAATACATATTGAAGAAAAAACAACGTGATACCTAAAGCATACTACTGGAAGCATGACAACACTCGACTATCTACTACCCTTCTACCCTAATCCTTGACCTCCATGCCTTTCTATCTAGGGTCATGTCCTCAGTCAGTTGAAGTTGTGCCATGTCTTGTGCCATGTCTCAATCAGTTAAAGTAGTGTCATGTCTTGTTTAATCATCTCCCCTAGTTTTTCTTCGGCTTACCTCTATTTCTCCCAACTCCTATTATACCCAACCTCTCATGCCTCCTCACTGGCGCATCCTTGCACTTCCTTTTCACGTGTCCGAACCATCTCAACATCGCTTCCCTCATCTTGTCCGCCATGGAGGCCACTCCCACCTTGTACCATATAACTCCGTTCTTAATCATCTCTCGTAGTATGCCCATACATCCATCTGCGCATGCGCATTCTCATCTCTGCTACCTTCGTCTTTTGAACATGGGCATTTTTGACTGGCCAAACACTCAAACCCCATACAATAGTTAGTCTAACTACTCTGCAAACCTTACTTTTAAGCCTTGGCGACACATTTGGCTAGCCTCTATTTCACCCACCTACTCCAATATAGTGTGCGACATCATCGTCAATCGCCCTATCTCCTTGAATTACGGACCCGAGGTACCTGTAGCTTCTCTCTTGGGAAGTCAATATACTTGCACCTCTACCTCATGTGTCTAGTCACTTCACTTCCACCTCTACCTCATGTGTCAAAACACTAAACTTGTCGTCCAAGTACTCTGTCTTAGACTCTTAGTCCTACTTAACTTATAACCTTTTAGTCTCTCTCCAAACTTCCATCCTATCATTAACTCCATCATGCATCTCATCAATTAATACTATGTCATCTGCCAAAAATAAACACCACAACACCTCCCCTTGACTATATCGTGTCAATACATCCATCACTAAGGCAAAAAGGAACGGGCTAATAGTTGATTCCTCGTGCAATCCCATCACGATCGGGAAGTGCTCCGAATCACCTCTCACTGTCCTAATCGAGTTTTGGTTCCATCGTACATGTCTTTAATAGTCCTACTATAAGCCACATATAAACCTCTAAACTCTACAAACATCTCCAAAGGACCTCTCTAGGGACTTTATCACACGTCTTTTTTAGGTCAATGAACACCATGTGTAAGTCCCTCTTTTTGTCCTTATACTGTTCCAACAATCTCCATACAAGATGGATGGCTTCAGTAGTCGAACGCCTGACATGATTGGTTGCGGAATTTCTAATACAAAATATCTTTAAACAATAAAAAATTATATACCTAAATTAGGATTTCACCCTAATTTTTGTTTTGATTTAAAAAATCATTGTATCTGCTTGAATTTCACTATTGAATTTAGTAATTTAGTCAAAGTACCCAAAAGCGAATGACCATATCAGGTGGATCCCACACCCATGTCATGTCGACACAAGTGCGGCACCGAATGTGAAGAGTCAATGCAACTTAGGTTTTGTTCCTTCTGCTTCTAATGGTTAGTCAATAAACTATATCCTCTAGCCCAAGTTTTAGCTATATCACTAGCTGAGTAATTATTGTTTTCCAAAGACGCACACTCAACTGTGGGTCTCATACTCAGATCAGTGTCTTCCTTCTACTTCAATTTGGTTCCTTCTGCTTCTAATGGCTGGTCAATAAACTATTTCCTCTGGCCAAAGTTTTGGGTGTTTCTGTGGAGTCAAACTATTTCCTCTGGCCGAAGTTGTGCGAGGAAAAGTAGTTTGGAAATGGACCACTAATTACAATTGAGACTAGGGGTGTGCATTCGGTTTGGATTTTCGGTTTTTGGTTTTGTAAAAGTGTAACCCAATCCGATCCAAAATAAATTTGGTTTGGTTTGGTTTTCCTCTATTCGGTTCGGCTTTTTTCGGTTTGGTTATTCGGTTATGTCAATAATTAATAACATATATAACCAAAGTAATAATATTTAATCCCTTAAATATTCTTTCTAATATAAATCATAAGTAAAACTTAAAACACAATACTTATAAGTATACCTATTATAGATATTATTCAAACATAAAATATAAACGTAATCATTATGAAAGGCAATAACCAAAAAAGGACAAAAGTGGTTAACTCCAACTTAATTCTAAACCTAAACATTATATATATATATATATATATATATATATAATGTTTAGGTTTAGAATTAAGTTGGAGTTAACCACTTTTGTCCCTTTTTGGTTATTGTCTTTCATGATGATTACGTTTATATTTTATGTTT